GAACACGCGTTCGTATCTGACGTGCATCTGTCGCGCGCTACCTCTCTGCCGGTACTCGTTCTGCACGCTAAGGATGATGTTATCGTGCCCTACGTCGTTGGACATAAGGTGACAAACAAACACACGAACACACGAACCATGATACACTTTTTCATACTATAGGGTCACATACACAGTAGAGGGAAGTGGAAAATTCCACGCGAAGAGTGTTAAGGCGTTATTTTAGTTTCTTTCCCTTCCCACTCTTAACTTAATAAAACATTCGTGACATACTATACTGGCTTTCGCCCGCGACTCCGTCCGCGTGGAATAAAAATAAGTAAGTAGCCTAGATCCGTTCAGTATTTTAGACTACAAACTCTAACATATAGATTTTCGAATTTTTATTAGTAAAATTAAATCCAATTTCAAAAGCATGTAACTTTGCGTCAGTATTTAGTATAGATTATTGCATTTTACTGACATCCAAATATGAACTAAAACTGCAGTTCATTTATTAAATGTTAGCTTTCGCCCGCGTCTTCGTCCGCGTGGTATTAAAAATACAAAAGTGAGTAGCCTATGTGTTCTTCCAGGCTATCCTCTATATCTGTGCCAAATTTCAATAAGATATGTTGTACCATTGCAGAATGATCGAGAAAACATTAAAAAACTAAATTAATGAATCCCACGGGAACCGTAACTATTCCCGGGATAAAAAGTAGCCTATGTGTTCTTCCAGGCTATGCTCTAAACCTGTGCCAAATTTCATTGAGATCCGTTCAGCCGTTTAAGCTACAAACTCTAACAAACATCCATCTAAACTTTCGCATTTATAATATTTTTATAATTATATTTTATAATATTAGTAAGATTATATTTTTGGTTGTTTTTATTGATATTTCCAAATACATTTCAGTTATACAAAAGTATATTAGAGTCGCGGCGCGCGGGCGACGCGGCCGTCACTTTACATGCTTACGACAGCAAACTTAACTTGGGACACAAGTGGATATGCACCGCGCCCGACCTGCCGCGAGTTGTGCGGTGAGTTCTGACATATCTACACTAGCTGTTCCCTTCCGACTTCATCCGCATAAAACTATGAAAATTTTATTTTATCGTTCACATTT